GCGTGAACCCAGGAGGCGGAGCTTGCAGTGAGCCGAGATTAGGCCACTGTACTCCAGCCTGGGCGACAGAGCAAGACTCCGTCTAAAAAAAAAAAAGAAAAGAACATTTGTAAAATTCATGAGAGACAGTAAAAATATCAATATCATCAGGAGTTTGGCAGAAGTTGATTCCAATCCTCATGGATGACTATGAGGGGATGTTTAAGACTTCAGCAGAAGAAGAAACTGCAGATGTGGTAGAAATAGTAGGAGAACTAGAATCAGAAGTGGAGCTTGAATATGGGACTGGATTGTTACAATCTCGTGATAAAACTTGAACGAATGAGAATTGCTTCTTATGGATGGGAAAATAAAGTGATTTATTGAGATGGAATCTACTTCTGGTAAAGATGCTATGAACATTGTTGAAATGACAACAAAGAACTTCAAATACTACATAACTTATTTCATAAAAGCAGAGGCAAAATTTGGGAGGATTGTCTCCAAGAAGTTCTGCTGTGGGTAAAATGCAATCAAATAGCATCACATGCTACAGAGAAATCTTTCATGAAAGGAAGAGTCCAGTGATATGGCAGACTTCTTTATTACCTTATTTTAGGAAAATGCCACAGCTACCCCAGGCTTCAACAGTCACCACCCTGATCAGTTAGAAGCCATCAACATCTAGGCAAGACCCTCCACTAGCAAAGGATTGTGACTCACTGAAGACTCAGATGACCATTCTCGTTTTTCAGCAATAAAGTATTTTTAATTACGTTATGTACTGTTTTAGACACAATGCTATTATACACTTAATAGACTAAAATATAATGTAAACATAACTTTTATATGCACTTGGAAACCAAAAAAGTTTTGTGACTAACTTTATTGCTATATTTGGTTTATTGTGGGGGTCTGGAACTGAACCTCCAATATCCCCAAGGTATGCCTGTATATACATTTGCTATTATACTTTTTTTCATATTCACATATTATTTTAAGAGCCCCAAAGGTAAAATGTGTTGCTATTTTTATTTAAACACATAGCTACAAATTAGATTGTGCATTCATCAGTACAGTCATCTTCACTATTTGCATAATCAATAACCGAGATGGGCAGAGGTTACTGTGGATACCAGATGGTTGATATTACATATTAGTGATGAATACTGACACCTGAGTGGAATATTAAAATAAAATGTAATAAGAGAAACAACAGAGCTTGGCAGAGGTTACTATGAATACCAGAATGGTTTAGAGAGAGTTGAAGGTAGTGCCCATTCCAGGAAAACTTTCTGGAGGCAGTGATGAATCTAAAAACATAAGTTCGAGTTACATAAATGTAGAAAGGAAACAGACATTTCAGGAAGAAGAAATAAAATAAGTAAAGTCATGGAAGAACAAGGAAATATAAGCAGTATGATAGTATTTGAGTATAATTTACGTGTATACCCTGATGGTTGAAGAAATTGGAAAGGCTGTAGGGGTCAGATCATGAAGGCTGTATGGGAATTGGGACATTATATTTTAGACAACGTGAAACAGTTGCAGAATTTTATGCATATACATAGTATGATTCGATGTTTTCACTGAGAGGGAGTAATTATTTCAATTATCAATTGTAATAATTCAAGAAAGAGAGAAGAGTTAGACCTATTGGTACTATTGGTAGTAGGCAAGAAAAGAAGGACCAGTTGAAAATAGCTACAAGGTGGGTTTTGGCAGGGCTTCTTGATGAATTGGATATAAGGATGCAGTGAAAAAAAGGCAAGACTCTTAGACCTCTAGCTTGGGACTACAGGAGGATAGTACTGCTCATCTAACAATTTAGGAACCTAGGAGAAGAAGCCAACTTGATTTGAGGTTGAGTATTTAGGCTATTCTATGTTTGATGTACCGATAGACTACAGAGAGAGATATTCAGTAAAGACTGGCATATGGTTTAGACTTCAGACAAGAAATCTGTAGGAGGAGATAGGGAAGGGTGTTATCAGTGTATAAAAATTAGAAGATAAAAATCTTAAATTTACATATGGTCAGCAAGGAAAATATAACAGTAGAAATTAAGAGAACTAGGTAAGGAACTCAGGAGATCACCAAAATTATAAGGAGATGTAAAGGAGGAAGTGTATGATAATAAGACTGAAGTATGTATAACAACACTAGAAGAAAACCTCAGAAACACTAGTTTCTAAGATTCCAGAAATTAGGACAGTGACTCTAAGATAAAGATCAACAATTAAGAATGACTACAGATATGAAGAGAAAGATAAAGGCAGCAAAGTCTTAATTATTATTATAAATGCAGAAGTCACCTAAGTATAAGCTAAGAAATGTTGTATTGGGAGCAAGCTAAGAAATGTTTGCACTAGGTCAATGGTTGAGAAGAGAATAAAAGGTAAAAAGGACCATGTAAAGACATCTAGAGGCCAAGCATGGTGGATCACACCTGTAATCCCCGCACTTCGGGAGGCTGAGGTGCGTCCATTACTTGAGCGCAGGAGTTCAAGACCAGCCTGGGCAACATGGCAAAACTCTGTTTCTCCAAAAATACAAGGATTAGCTGCACGTAGTAGTCCACGTCTGTAGTCCCAGTTACTGGGGAGGCTGAGATGGGAGGATCTGAGCCTGGGAGGTCAAGGCTGCAGTGAGCTGTGATCGTTCCACTGTACTCTAGCCTGGGCCACAGAGTGAGACCCTGTATCAGAAAAAAAAAAAAAAAAAGACACCAAATCTAGACTGTTAGAGTATCTAAGTAATAGAAAGGTTATTGTGTCTCTCTAAATGTAATTTAAAATAAAAATAAATGATTAAACCTTATGATAATTTTTCTCATGGTGAATACTTTGGCACTTTTCTTTGAGAAACAACATAAGAAACATTTTCCTCCTTTGATTTTCTGCTTTTCTAGTCTTGTTAGTCATCTTAATCTGTCCCATAGGTACATACAGCACAAGGGTGCAGAAAGAGACAAGAGCAGACTTCCCCTTCAAAAAGCTTAGTTATGCCAAATTAAAACACACAAACACACACACACACAAAATTTAGTAAGAAGAGACTTTGATTCAAACAGGATTATTGCAAGGAGCAGGGTAGGCAGGGAAGGGACTATTGCAACAGGGAATACTAAGGCTGTAAGATCTGCACCTATCTCAGGAGTTAGACAAAAGGCTTTTTTTCTTTTTTAGAGAAGGCTAAACGAAGCTAGAGAGAACTAAATGTGAAGTCAGAGGCAAGGGCAGCCTGATTGAATAGTAGATCAGAGAATGTTGTGCTCTGAATCCAGCCTTTTCTCAGGAAATATCCTGTGCTATCTATCTTAAAGCTGAGAAGGGAGACAAAGTTCAGGAGCCCAGAAGAAGGAGGGAAACGTAATCAAAGTTTGTTTCACAAACATTTTATTCAGATTAATCAGTGAGCCAAGCAGTTCAGCTAGAAGCAAAGAATGGGAACTGGCAGGGTCTGTGGCTGGTCTTCCCATAAACAAGATGGTAACAAAGACAGCTTATCTAAGTCATGATAAGTGAGTCTTATCTAAGTCATATGAGGCAGGGTGTTTCCTTACGGTAAGCCATTTTCAGACAAAAAAGAGTGAAAGTGGATAGGTCATAAGGAACTCTCTTTTATTTTTAAAATGAAAGAAACCTGAACATGTTTGTGGATGAAGGGGAGGAAGCGAGGAAAAGTAAGGGAGATAAATAATTGGACGAGTGTTTTGGATAAGGAAGAAGGATTATGTGACCAGGTTAAGGGTGGTATCTTGATTAGGAGGGACTTTATCCTGGGATTGTAAAGAGAAATATTCAGGAGGCATTTAAGCTTGGAGATGGAGGACTACAGAACATTGAAGCAGTTTATGTCTAATCATTTTATAATGTACCACAAAAACATACAAGCGATAGGAAAGTAGTGGTGAATATATTAAGTCTGAGCAACTAGATACTCTCAATATAGTAAGAGCTGAGACAACCTTTTGAGAGTGACTCAGGTATTGAGACAAGAGTAGCAGAGGGGCATGGAGGAAGGCAGTACCAGACAAAAGGCAATGGAAAAATTACCAAACCATAGTGATAATATTGCATATCTCAACTCATGGAAAGAACAGAAATGCTGAAATGTTGGCAGAATCAAAATTCTCTTCCTTACAATACCAGTTTTATGGGTCAAAAAAAATTCATTTCCCTTACAACTGAATGCTCATATTTATCTCAGAAAACTGCAATTTCAAAACCCAGGTGAGAGAAGAATGTTGATGTACTGATTATGTGTAGGAGACATCGTGAGAGTGTCAGAATCCTAATCTTAATGTCCCTCAGTTGAGTGTGTGTATTTATTTGTATTACCCACTCTCTCACACCACCATGAAGACTTCCATATCTTTCTTCATTTCTCTGTTTTTTTGAAGATGTCAATTTCTGTGTAATGTATAACTTCTTGAACACAAACTCTGTTTAACAAACTTCAACAGTAATCCCCTAAAGAATCTCTTCTCTGAGTTTCACTGACAATTTTTGGAAGCTCTCCATTGAAGTGTTATGGAAACCTTTGTTTGAAACTGCAGTAATGTACTAAATACATAAATGGTGCCAGGAGAGACATGAAAATAAGCTATATATCTCGTATCTTATTTTTCTATTTATTATTAGAGGTTTTGTTTTGCTTCGATCCGATTTTTTCTGGTAACCAGAGGAAAATCATCTTTACCACTTTTTTTCTTAATGCTTTTCTTTTGACATGAAACAAAATAATAATAGAAAGAGAGAAAAGTATATATGCATTATTTTTGGTCTCTTGAAGCCAATAAAGCAGCTAAATTTTATGTATCCATGTATGTATGCATGTATTCAATATTTTAATGGTCTTTCTTGAAAGATAATGCTATATCCAAGCTTCAGGTACTATAAAAGTCAGGTCTGTACAAAGCCTCATAAACTCTTTTAGAGAGGTGATTTCAAAAATATTGATAGCTAATAAATTGTATTAATGTTTAAAGAGATTTTACTTATTTGTTTAAATTAAAGCACCCTGTGGAGGCAATTTAACAGGATCTTCAGGCTTTATTCTTTCGCCAAACTTCCCTCATCCATATCCACATAGCAGAGACTGTGACTGGACTATCACCGTCAATGCAGACTATGTTATCTCCTTGGCATTCATCAGGTGAGTTCTTATATATTTCCACATTAAAAAAATATATTGCTTGGCCATTTTGCTTTAGCATTTGCACTAGACAAATTCTTATTTCTATATATAGCATTTTTGTTATTTTTTACTAATCCCAGTGCTAATACTTGTTCTAGCTTTGCCACTGTCATTCGTGTTACCTTGGGCAAGTTATTTATTTGAGTGAGCCTCCATTTTTCCACATGAGGCTAATAGCTGGCATCACAAAACCTGGCCTCTTTCCGTGAATATTTCATTGGAAGTGTTAGGCAATAGCAACTCAATGATTTTCCAAGTAGAAAAGTCCCCAGTCTTTATTGTCTAAGGTTGATGTAATCAGTATGTTGACTCCAGTAACACAATTCCTTGTTCTGCCACCAGTGTGTTAAAGGCTCTTAGTATTTATGTGAAATGTTAAACTTAAATATTCAATATTTTCTAATATATTAAGGCCAGTTAGTTTTTCCTAAGTAAAGATAATTTAAACTCATACAAATTCAGCATAATTGTAAATAAATAAAATTTTTATTTTTGTAATTTGTAGTGGTGCATTGCTAATTAGTAATACCAAAGTGACAACAATGATAATTTTAGTTTTATGCCAGGCTCCTGTTGTAAGACAAATTCCCAAGTTAAATACTATTATTATCCCCATTTTCCCAATTGAGGAAACATCAATACAGACATGAGAAATATCAAAATGGATGATACAGGGCTTAGTTTACGTATGAAATTATTCTAGTTAATAACTTGAAGGTAGAAGGGTATATTACATGAAGTGCATGACCTAAATTTGATTTCTAACTCTATCATTTATTATGTGACCTTAGGGAGACCACTGACTTTAAAGAGCCTTAGCATACTCATTGGTAAAATGAAAATCATAATCTCTTCCTTATACAGCAGGACTGTTGGCAAGATGAGTTAATATTTATTAAAGTACCTTGTAAAACATAAGGTAATATTAGCGTGCAGTGTCCTTTCAGTTTTTCAGGAAAAAAAAACGTAACAACTAAGACTAAAATTTCGTTAAAAAGAATATTTTTTGTTTTAACTTCATTTTCAAAGAAGTTGTAATACTTCAAGTATTGATTTAGTCCCAAACTATAAATTAAAAATAAATATACTGTGTTCCATTGTTAAATAATCTTTCAGCCTTCTATGCATAATAAATACTCCTGTGTCATTTACAAAGCCGTTGTTTCTAGTGATTCTCCCAACAGAGACAGACAAGGAAGTTGTAATTAACATCAAAGTTTAATGTTGGAAGAGATGAAATTCAGAAGTCGTGTTTTATCTCAGAACAAGGGTAATAAGTAATGAAATAAAGTTTAATCTTCTGATTTCTGCTATATTATTATACCCACAGTTACCAAATTCAAGCCTCAGATCCACTGAAAAATTTCAGGATAAGTTAATTGAACTACATTTTTGAAGCTACTGAATAAATTTAAACAAAATATAATAGTGTGATGATCTCCCAGTTTTCTCATGTTAGAGGGGCCCACATATAAAAAAGGTCTGGGAACCTCTGCACTCTCCCATTCTCTCTTTACCACTCTTTATGCACAAGTAAGACGAGTAGCTGGACTCTTCTTGCCTGTACATGAATATGTAAAGGATGAGAATTGTGGAAAGTTAACTTCTATAAATTCTTTAAGTTTGGAAATAATACTTTTCACCAAACAAATCTCTTGTTTAGATGCAGGCAAATATGATACAACTTGACAAAATAGTTTTTCTGCTGATGAATGTTTAACAATGGCAAGTTTTACTGGTTTCATTTTATATCATAAACTGGTTGACTTTTCTTGCTGACCTAAATTAATCTATCCTTTTCCCCATGTTTCTCTACCACAGTATGAGTTAGGAAATAGAGAAATTGATTGCATGTCTCCTGACTTCTAAATATATGGGTTCCATGATCATTGTGGGACAATTATTATACTTTTGAAGGTTGTTAAGGCAAGTTTATTATGCAAATCTTATAATATTAACACAACTGATTTGAATCCTTTACATGCTAAAATATCCTTTTTCACATTATGTAATTCTGATAGTGTATTGGTTTGATATCTCCTACATTAGATTTTAAAACAAGAAAATATATTTACTTTCAGGAAAAAGAATGTCTAATACAATGTGCAAAGCTTCGTTTGAGTTATTTAAATGTAAATAATATATTTCAACTTTTGATTTCAGCTTTTGTCCTTATCTGATATATAGAGTTAAATTTTTTAGCAATAAAAATGCTCATAAACTTTGGAGTACTATTTATGAAGAAAAAAATAGTTTGTGTTTTCATGATGCAAAATATATGGATGAAAAAGTTTTAAAAATACATATTATCCTCCACATAAAGTAACTTGCATAAGAACACGTCACTAACAAGGGCAGAAACAAGGCTTGAACTTACATTCTCTGACTCCAAATCCTGTATCTTTTCATCAATTAACTATTTGTCTTATAATCACTTCATTTCCTCTGCATACAATGTCAACTTAAAAATATGTAAAAATGTCAAGATTTTTTTTTCTTTTCCCCTGCTTATTTGATATTTATATTAAATATGTTGTTGCCAGGTGATTTTTTATATTAGCTTATTTTAACAGTGTCTTTTATTATTGTTAAGCACTGAATTAATGTTTGATCATGTAACTATTATGATTAATAGCCTAATAATAATTATCCTACTTCCTTTTCTTTCTTTTTTTTTTTTTTTAGTTTTAGCATAGAACCAAACTATGACTTCCTCTATATCTATGATGGACCAGACAGTAATAGCCCACTGATTGGAAGTTTTCAAGACAGCAAGTTACCAGAGAGAATAGAAAGCAGCTCAAATACAATGCATTTGGCTTTTCGGAGTGATGGATCTGTTAGTTACACTGGATTTCATCTAGAATACAAAGGTAAATATGAATATTCCATGTTAGTATCATGATTTAAATTATAGATATTTTATACAGGAGAATAATTTTATATGGCCCATTGTTAGTGGTTACTTTTATGTGCATTTTTAAATGCAGACTATGTACAGTTCATCTCATAAAAGCGTTCTCACAGTAGACCTTTCTTATTAGTGAGAAAGAAATTAGCATTTCCCTAATTACTACCAAAGGAAATGTATCAGGCAAACAAATTAACAATTAGTATATTGGAGGAGTTGGCTGGAGCCACACAATATTAAAAAACAAAAAATACAAAAAAAGTCTCATTTTTTTAGAAGCTGAAGTTTCAGTCAAATACCTTCATTTGGAGAACACTTTCAGTGATAAAGGGAACAAAGTAGAGGATAATTGTATTTCAGAAAACATGTAAGTTGGGTGCCATCACTCATGCCTGTAATCCTAGCACTTTGGGAGGCCAAGGCAGGAAAATTACTTGAGCCCAGCAGTTTGAGACCAGCCTGAGAAACATAGTGAGAGCACATCTGTACATTTATTTTTTAATTAGTCAAGAGGGGTGGCATACATCTGTAGTACTAGCTACTCAAGAGACTGAGGCAGGAGGATCACTTGAGCCCAGGAGATGAAGGCTGCAGTGAGATATGATCATGCACTGCAGGCCAGCCTGGAAGAGCAAGACCCTGTCTCTAAGAAAATGTACACAGATATTTAAATATGTCAATATTCATAATAAGGAAAACAAGTATAGTTATAATGTTTTAGAATACTTCTGCTAGTGCTTAAATGAATTGTATTAGAATGCCTATGGATATTTATAATTATATTTTTCTAAAATTTTGTAGTTTATGTCTACAGGAACAGATTTATATTTAGATTGCATAAACTTTAAATTTATTTTGCAACTACTGAGTCCATGAAGGGCATACTGATAATTCACCTCAAGTTATCAACTGATTTCTGAAAATACATGCTTTGATTTGCTACCACCTTTTGTTTAATATTTTCAATAACTGAAACTTATATATAGAATAATGAACTCCAAAGCATCCATCAGCCAACTTGACAAAAATTATCATTCTGCTATATTTGCTTCAGATCTCTTTATTCTTGTCTTAAAAAATCAAATATCACATATACAATGGAAACTGCTTTTGCATTTGCCATAGGAACAGGGGTTAGTCTCTTCAGGGCTATCATAAGAGGTCACAATAAATTTCACAACAACACATAATATGGGTAAGAAAGACGTTTTTAGGGAAATGAAACTCACAAGTCAGCAAGAAACAGATGCTTGGAGTCCTCCAATATCTCTGTCATCACTTAGAACTGTATGCCAGGTCAAGGTTAACTGCTGGACTTAAACAGTAGAGTTTTCATTCCAGTGGAAAGCCTGATCCCTCCATAAGTCTCTCATTTCACAAGAAAAAGTAGGAAAATGGCCTTGTTAGTAGGAAAATATACAGGACATTTGGCACAGACAGTGAGGTTTAGGGTGCTGGCTGTTTATTGAGGTTTTCTGCAAATGCTACCTGCTCTGTATCAGAAGATGCTTGGGGGAAGTTTAGACCTTGGGTTTATGGGTTAGAAACTCTTTTAGGGAGAGTGAGCTTGACCGCAACGTCACTCTAACCACCTGGTAGATAATTCCCTTACCATTCGTGGGAACCTGGCTAGCTGACCATGTAGGCAAACCATAATGAGCATTCAAGGTCATTTTTCAGACATTCCTGCTCTTTTCATGCTGGTATTCCCCCTAATCCTGAATTTGATACTTATCCTTTCCATGTATTTATGCTTGTACATATTTTTATATTTCTTATTTTCATACAAATTTTGTATTTTTATTATGTATGTATCCTTCTGAAAATTGATTTGGCCCCTTACATTGTTTTTGAGATTTATCAAAGTTAGAAGCATATACCTTTTATTTATTAAGTCCTTTATGATACTCCACCATATGGCTATATCAAAGTTAATATATAAATTTTTCTGCTGATAGACATTTAGGCTGTTTTAGTTTATTACTACCAGAAATGAATGATGATGAAATGAACATTCTTTTACATGTCGTCTTGAATATATCTGTGAGATTCTTTTTAGATCATCTGTATACCTAAGAGTGGGATTACTAGGTCAAAGGGTATGAACCTCTTCAATGTAACTCTGTATTGCTGAATTATTCTCTAAAGAGGCTGCATCAATTTAAATTTTCAAAAATCAGAGGATGAGAGCTTCAGAAATTCCACAGTTTTTAAAAGCCAGTGCTTTTGTTAAACTTGCAAGTTGCTAATCTCATTAAATGATATCTCATTGTCGTTTTTATTCTTTTCCCTTATTAAGTTGAGCATCTTTTTCCTATTTTGCATACTGACATCTTCCTTCCTTCCTTCCTTCCTTCCTTCCTTCCTTCCTTCCTTGAGATGGAATCTTGCTCTGTCACCCAGGCTGGAGTGCAGTGGTGATCTCAGCTCACTGCAACCTCCACCTCCTGAGTTCATTCGGTTACTATTAATTGTTTTAACTATAGTCCCGAGTTTTAACTATGGTGTATATTGCCTCTGAATTATTACTCTCTGTTACAAAAATATATTATTGAAGTGGTGGTGTTGTCTGAGGTAAATACCCAGGGTTTGCCATTTGGCGCCAAGAAGATTAAGGACAGGGACAAATATGAGGAATGAGTTTAGGGGCGAAGATTTAATAGGCAAAAAAAAAAAAAAAAAGAGACAAAGGAGGACAACTCTCCCTTTTTCCTAAGAGAGGGGCAGCCGAAAGGGGAAAGCCGGCCCCACTGTTAACTATGTCAGATTTTATAGGCAGGCTTGAGGAGGCGGTGTCTGAGTTACATAGGACCCACAGACTAGTCTGACCAGGTATGACATTTACCTAGTGTGCGGGGTAAGCTGGTTGCCCCACCCTAATCTTCTTATGCAAAAGGAGCCTTTGCCTGGCAGGGGCTGTATTGTCTTCTTCTTCCTGTACTCGAGGTTTGGCAAGGGCAGATGGAGCCTCCATTTTGGACATGCCTAGTCCCAGGTAGCCTTTTCCTGTGGACACAACTGTGAGCCGGCCTTCACCTGTGCAAGTTTCTGGCTTGCCTGTCTATGTCTGCAACTCCATTTTACAGGTGGCTCTGTGTTAGAAAAGAAAGTGATTTGAGGGCTGCTTTTCATTAAAACGAAAACCTTACTATCTGCCTGAGTAATTTCTTTTTAACTCCTGTATCATTATCAAATTGATTTAGTACCGTCTGATTGAGCTATAATTTTTCTTCCTTATACTCTCCTTGTCTGGTTTTGATACCAAGATTACACTACCTGCCTAAATTTGGGAGCATTCTCAATTTTCTAGTCTTGAGAATAGTTTGTATAAGATAGGATTATCTGTTTCTTGAACGTTTTCTAGAACTAAAACTACGGGACCAGTGACTTAAGGTGGTGAAATTTTAATGGTTGTAAATATATTTAGATTTGCTTTTTTACCTTAGATTTAAAAAACTCTTTCTAAAAACTAGTTCCTTTCATCCATGATTTCACATTTATTGACATGAAAATATTCACAGTATTTATCTTACTTTATTTGCTGCTGCATGTTTTTGTTAACATTGTTTAATATTTTTATTAATATTGCTTTTATCTATGTTAGTTCCTCCCTTTTATTGTCTCTAGATTTGCTAATCCTTTTCCCCATTTCTTGAGATAAATACTACTTTTTTTTTTTTTTTTTGAGACGGAGTATCGCTCTGTCGCCCAGGCTGGAGCGCAGTGGTGCGATCCTGGCTCACTGCAACATTTGCATCCCTGATTAAAGCAATTTTCCTCCCTCAGCCTCCTGAGTAGCTGGGATTATGGGCGTGCCCCACCACGCCTGGCTAATTTTTGTATCTTTAGTAGAGATGGGGTTTCACCATGTTGACCAGGCTGGTCTCAAACTCCTGACCTTGTGATCCGCACTCCTCAGTCACCCAAACAGCAGGGATTATAGGCATAAGCCACCACGCCCAGCCAATACTGCTTATTAATTTGTATTTTTTCTCTTTTGGTAATGAGCTTTTGGATCTACACATTTTCTTTAAGAACCTCTTAAGCTGCTATGCAAAAGTTTTGATATGTAGAGATTTATCATAATTTTATTCTAAATTGGTTGTAAGTATAGCATTATGATTTTTCTTTGCTGAAGTGCTACTTAAAAGTATTTCAAACTATCAAAATAAAATTTTAATCTATAACTTATTATATTATAAATTTCTAATTTACTTGCATCATCAGAGATGTATGATTCTGATTCTTTGGCTTGTCATAGGATTTGTTTTGTGGTCCATTGTATTGTCAAAATTTATGTTTCTTGTGTACTAGGAGAGAAATTTGTATCATCTAATGAGTGCAAGTTTTTTTATATACATCCAATAAATTCCCTAGTTATATTGTTAAATATTCATCTTCTCACCGTTTTTTAACCTGTTTGGTCTAGCAATTATTGAAATAGTTGGGTAAAATCTACTATTCTTAACTTGCCATTTTTCTTAAAATTTTTACCACTTTTGTTTATATATTATGAAAGCCTGTTTTCAGGTGCATATAAATTGAATTTTTTCGGTTTTTTTGATACCTTGCATTTAGTATATTTATACTTATTAGCCTTTTTCTTTTATTTTTTGCTTTATATTTCTTTTGCTTTTTCTGTATTCCTAATTTCAAAATCTTCCACTTGCTACCAAATAATGTCAATATCTGATACTTTCTTTCTTATTTATTCACTTATTTATTTTTAAGTTCACTTACTATGTGCATCCCCCTCACTCTAGTAATCCCCTACACATATTCTAAAATACAAGTTTCTTAAGAGGAAAGCCCTTATCTGTTCATTCACCACCATACACTAAGTGCCAAGAATAGTGCCCACACACAGTAGTTATTCAATTTGTTACTCGATTGGTTTTGAGCATTGCAAAGAGGTGTTTTCTGTTTTACAATCAAGTCAAAATTTGAATATTAGAAAAATAA